ATGTCCAATATATTTTACATATATTTCTATTACTGTTGGTATTATTATTATTATCATTATTTTAATTTTTTTATCATTATTATAACTAGTTTTAGGCCTGTCCTAATGTATTCCCAGTTAGCTCAGATAGTATGAAATTATATAAATGGATATAGAATATTCTGTGTTACCCTGGCTGTACAGAGAGAATAGACAGGGAACTGGGAAGTGTTGAGCAGTCTCAGGTAGGGCAGAGGCCAAGCAGAGTCTATGCTCACCTACCTGTGAATCTGTCCTTAGTGTACCTCCTATTACTCTCCATCCAGGGGAAGGTTAGCCCTGTAAGGTTGTTCATATTGTTCATTGCCCCCATACTGGGCACATTTGGCATTCCCGTGGAAATAGGCTGGTGCACGCTGCTAGTCAAAGGTCTATGAGCAGGAACCCGAATAACCCCAGCAGAATTAAGATTGTTCCCATTCATATTCATACCCATGTTCATATTGTAGGAGCCAGTCAAGGAGGCCATGCTGCAAGCACTGTTGTTGTATCCCCCGGTGCTGTTATTGCTGTAGTTGCCGGTCATGGTGTTGTAGGCACTGCTGACAATGCATCCCAAGCCATAATCAGAATCCTGTAGCCTGCTGCTGGAGATCATACAACTCCCCTGGTCTGGATTGTTCAAAATCTGGTCAATCCCAAAACTGATGGGCTCTGCGTGGCTCTGGTGGATGTGATGAACCCCTATGTGATCCATGCTTGTCGGAGATCCTTCCCACACCACCACGACTGGAGCTCCAGCCCAGAGCTCTAATCAGATAACAGATTCAAAAAAGAAATGCCGCTTTGTCTCGCTTCAATTGTTTCCAATTCCTGAGGCAGGATAAAAAGAGCAAAAGGAAGAGCTAAAATGGATGGTGCTTTTTGCATTTGGTTAGTGTTCTCTGTGCAAACTGGGACATCAATCACACAGCCAGGAGGCCTGAGAGAGAGGGAGCGGAGGACTCTTCCGCCCTCAACGCTGATTGGCTGCCGGCTGACAACACGCACATGAATGACAGCATGAGAAAGAGTCCTGTGCCAGAACACACAGCCATACAAAGTCACGGCGCACAGTCCTCATACAGAACTCCAATGTACACATCCCAGCATAGCAAGACATTGATAGGGGGCTGCTTGTGTCTATAGGGATCATGGGGGCATTATAGAGGGGTACACACTGAGTTTTTATTATTATCTTTATCTGCAAGTCAGTTTATTCTTTGTACTGGCTAGATAACACATATATTGAATGAAATATATTTTAGATAGATAGATAGACAGATAGATAGATAGATAGATAGATAGATAGATAGACATTAAATAAAACAGAATAGACAGATACATTAGAGTAATAGATACATGGATATTAGATGGATAGAGAGAGATAGATACATTAAAATGAATAAAGAAAGCAAGAAACTCTATCTATCTATCTATCTATCTATCTATCTATCTATCTATCTATCTATCTATCTAATATCTTACACACACTCTTTATATCCCTTTCTGTCTACAGACAGATCAAACAACCTATTTATCTATACACAGTTTATCTATCTGACCAATTATGCAAATTATTACAGCAAAACTTAAAAATAAACTTTAGGTGTAATTAAAGGCAATTTTTTAAAAGATTCGGATAGTTTGCTGTCTGTACCCCCCATTAGAGAGATTCATCTTTCTATTGCTGATGACCAATGTCACCAGGAATGAAAGTCAGGGTAAATCCACTCATTAATATTCTATTCTACTGGTCCCTGTGACATCCAGGGGATTTCCCTCCCATTGGAAAGAGGGCACCTCATTTCCTGTTGTGTCTAAAGAACAGGAAGTAGTAGTAAATCTCCTTATTGACAGACAGGTGGCAAAAAAAATGATGGTGACTTTAGCCAACCCCCCTTATCTATGCACAATTAAAAAAAAGTTGACTTTGAATAAGAGAAGGTAACTATATTATAGTATTAAATAAAAAAAAGAAATACATTTGCATACTTAGCCGACGGAAGGTTCTCATAATTGAAATTCTGAGCTGTGGCAGGCCAGAAATGTCATCCACTTTAATAACTGGGGCCTCACATCATGCTGACATGACCAAATTGTATAAATTGATAAGCTGTTATCACCATAATTCGCTTTACAGCAAGCAATACATCTTCCATATACAATTTATGTCAATTACCTTTCAATCGTGTAATTAGGTCTTGAGTAATGCCCCGGGTCCCGAGATCTCGTTAGAATGGAAGTCTCTGGTTCCTCCTGTGCTGGTGACCCCCCATTCTTCTGCATTCCCTGATCACTGACTATAGTCGGGGCTCCTTATTGGTCGGGGCACAATTTACACAAGATCTGTCCGGTCACTTGATTATTTTTCTTCATTCTGCCACTGATAATGTTTTTATTGGAACATATCTGAGTAGTAGTGTGTGTGTCCCTATCACAGCCGGTACAGGGCAGATAGGATTGTATGGAGACAGCAGATGCCTCCGACCAAGCCTCAGGCGATCATTAGTTTTCTCTTCTCGCCCATTATTATTATTGCCACCAGCCTGCCTGTGAAGGAGACTCCTTCTTCAACAAAGCAGCCAGGAATGTATAGGGCAACGCAGCTGTATCACCCAACTGATACACCGATGTGATTGGCCGATTAATGATCAAAGAAAAATATTATATCTAATAATAGCTTCATTTATATATAGCAAAATATGGGAAATAAAACCAATAAAAGGTGTAAGCACTTGGCAATGTAAAATGTGTGCGTGGTAGCTAAAAACATGATAGATAGATAGATAGATAGATAGATAGATAGATAGATAGATAGATAGAGATATGAAATTACCGGCAGGGTGTGAAGAGCTCAGGTTGTGCAATGTGTATTCAGCTTTCTGTAGAGGTGACATACATGAAAAGGATGATTTTCCACTGCTATCTACTCAGCAATTGCATTGAGTTTGGGGTTCAACTATCGCTAACCTTTTTTTATCTTCAAAACATGAGATTGTATTTTTTGTTCTTGGCTATCTCTGCTGAAATGCTATCTAGAAATCTAATGCTTACAAAAAGTTCAGATTTACTTTGTATGATATGTACTTTGTTACATTGTTACTTGTCTACATTGTTTTCTCGTGCTCATCTGTCACAGGATGACTTTACAGACAACCCTCATGATCTCTTTCTTAGATTCTTTTTTAGACTTTAGACATATTATATAATTGGATTACTGTTATTGATGCATTTTATACGTAAGTATTTAGGAGCCTAGGAAGTTATGAGCACACTATAGCTTCCATAAAAGGCCTATGTATGAGCTTTAGACTAGATTTTTCCAGGAGGTGCAATGCTGGAATAATAGTCATTATATTTCCACTCAATCTAGTGCAAACGTAGCCATGCATGCAGGCATAAGGGCGCTAGAAGCAGACGCTAGAGCAAGCATACTGTCAGAAGTATGTACAGTGTTATGTGTGTACAAATGTAGGCGCTAAGTAGGCGCCCATGTTAAGGAATACAAACGCCTACATTACCAACACAAGCACCCAATTTAATAAAACAAGCGCCCACAAGCGCCCAATTTAATAACACAAGCGCCCATTTGACTAACACAAGCGCCCACTTTACTAATACAAGCGCCTATTTTACTAACACATGCGCCCACTTCACCAACACAAGCGCCTATTTTACTAATGCAAGCGCCCATTTTACTAACACTTGCGCCAATTTTAATAACACATGCCCATTTCACCAACACAAACGTCTACTTTTAGGAAAATACGCGCTCACTTAGCGCCTTCATTGAAGCCAAAGTTTAAATGTTAGAATAGAATATTAATGTTGAATATCTTTCCTGCCTTTAATTACGGTTCGAACAATGTAAAGCTTCGATAAATGCATCTTATTTAATCGCTAATTATCACTTGGCATTCACTGGGAACCCACCGATTGGTAAAATAGGGTGTTGGGAAGGAGCGCTCCCTCGCTGGCGTGTAGTACATAGAAGAACATAGCAAGATATATGTAGACAGGTGTATTAACCTCTCTTGTCAAAGATTTATTGCATGTTATCAGACATGTCAGTCACACGCATGGCATGATGGGAGCAATCCTTTTATTTGGCTTTGACGTTATTATTGATTTTATTCACTGATTTGGAGAAGGAGATGTGATCGTTTCTTCATATGGACTTGGATCCTTCCTGATTATATTATAACGTGATCTCGATATACACACATCAGAGAGATCAGACACATTGTAACATAGGAGCAGAGTTCAGCTGAGCAAGATACAGAGGCTCATTGTGGCTCCGGGAGACATAAATATCTCTCTCTCTCTCTCTCTCTCTCTCTCTCTCTCTCTCTCTACCTCTCTCTCTCTCTCTCTCTCTCTCTCTCTCTCTCTCTCTCTAACATAATAACAACATTCATGCAGTGGACGAGTTGGGTGGTAGTTGGATAATTGCAGAAGGCATTGGTGATACCATAGTACAGAGTTGTACTAACATCATTTCTAATAGGATAAATGTATTTCTCTAAAATTAGGGGTGCAGACTGCAGAAGTGAGAAGGGCAGTAGAAGCAAGTGTCCCAGACGTGGAGAAGACAAGGGAGCATTAGACCTCATTAGATAAAGATAAACCATTCTCTTTTGGCCGTAGAGTAGGCAAGTTCTTAAAGTTATCATTTTACCAGAATTACCATCATCCCTAAACTTATAATAGTTATATATTAATTATCAAATTCGTTATAGCAACAATCCAGGATGACCATTTTTGGAGGAAGGGGTGTCCTTAACTTCAACCTCCAATCCTAATCCTAAACCTTAAAACATATATATATATATATGTGTGTGTGTGTGTGTGTGTGTGTGTGTGTGTGTTATCTTACTCACAAAGTACAATCTTCAATCCTCCAATCCCTTGCAAGCCAAAATCCTGCTTTTATTTTGAACTCCCTTGCATACGATTAAGCTTAGGTATTCATTGTTAACACAGCTTTCATTTAATTTGTAGCAACCCAAAGTGTATATAGACTTTGCCAAGTGCGAACCCATTACTCTTTTAGTAAATCAGACCCGATGAGGTTGATTTACCAAAGAAGTTGAGGATCCTTGCACATTACAATGAGTGAAGATTGACTTCAATTATCCAGTCATGTACAGCTGAAATGAGCAATCATGAATTTGCTTTTCTGGTGATTGAATAATTGAAGTGGAATTGCACTGGTAAACATTTTCAGCTGCTTTAGTGAATGTGCCTTCTTGTCTCAGCCTTATTTCAGGAATGTCTGCATGCTCTTTGCTAGTAAGACATATTGGTGGTATGGATCGAAGAGGACCTGTATGTGGGATAGGCTGACTAGACTGCAGAATGTCAGAGAATTTCGAGTGCATTATCTGGTCAATGGAGTGCGCAGCGCTGAGGGGGCTATCCTCCTAACATCCGCATTAATATATGAATATTTCATAGGCGATCCTCTTTGTCCAGCAATTGACCGACATTAACAATTCATGGGACGATCCGCCTCCCAGATTTAGACGCTTTCAGCCCATTAGTGAAACTTGGAAGAATTTCATTCACAGGTAAATAATTCAGAGGCGATGCTGTCATTTTGCCCCAGGACTCTGTATTCCCAGTACGCTCACACTGGACATGTACCTAGGGTACTGGAAAGGTGCTGGGGTACCCTAGGGAAGAGATGAGGAAAGATAAAATGTCATTCCTTCTATTTGTTACTCATTTGTCTT